GCGGGAAGGTCCTCCAGAAGGAGCCCAGAATCCAGGCTGCTGTCTCCACCTGCCACTGCTGAGCCACAGTAGGCAATGGAGGCATGTTTTGTACCCCGTTTATTTACCTGTAAACGGCACCTTCCTGTTACCTAATTCAAAGCAGCACTGACCTCCTGTAAGAGACAGCAGGAAAGGAGGCTTCTGGGGTTGAAGTGAGAGGAAGGGAAGTCAGCACCAGGTTCCTGGGCCTCTCCCCAATCTGGCCAGGCACCCCAGGCGGAGGTGTCTGCTAGGGAACTGTGTGCTTAGAGGACCCTTTTGGGCTGAAGGAGGCATGGATGGTTCAGTTAAGGAGTCCCACCTCAGGTGCAGCCATCTCTCCAGGAAGGTGTATAGGTGACTGTGCTGCAGGGTGGATTTCAGGGAAGCTTCCAGACTGAATGCACTAGGAAGAAAGGCCTGGCGATTGACTTCTGGAACTGTGACAATGAAAAGCCAGAATCACAAGCAGGAGAGAAAACGTGGATCTTGCTAGAGCATTGGTCCTGCCCCTGCTCATGAAGGTGGTGCTGGGCCGGGCCATGGTCCTTTCTGTGCAGCGTGGAGTATCCCCGGGTTGGAGCCAGCAGCACAGCCTGAGAACAGTGTGGCTCCAGCGTCAGTGCTCCGTTAGCCGTGCTCATTTTGAGCCCTACTCTGGTGAGGGCACTCTGGTGTGCCAGCTGTTGGGTCCAGTAACCCCGCACTGGGTGTTCCAACCACCAGCTGCTCCCGGGACAGAGATGAGGCTGCCTGCTGCTCTGAAGATCCTCACTCTCAGGAACCCGATTGGCCTCTCTGTGAGTTAGAATTGGCTTGATAGTAGTTTGGGTTGGTTTTGAATCGCAGAAAGAGGGGATTTGAGAGTGGTAAGAGCAGGGAAATCCCTCGGGTGGTTCTACTCTGTTCTGCCGGGTGATGAGGAGTCAGAATGGCAGCAGGTCTGTCTGTCTGTTTGTTGCAGGGGCAAGCAGCACAGTTGAGTGGGAAAGTCCAGTGGAAAACTGGGAGGGCACTCAGACCTCACGCTCCCTCCCTCAAAGAGAGAATCTTCCAGGGGTGAGCATTTGCTCTAGGCCTTTGCCCACGGGCCTGTGGGGTGCTGAGTTCCCTGTCACTGGAGGTGTTTAAACAGGATGATTGTGAGAGATGTTTGAGACCAGGGTGCATTTGTCAGGGGGCTAGAAGGCATGCCATGGAAAGTTCTAATGCTAATGTTTAGTGACATCATGGCTAGGTGTTGAGGCTTAGAAGTTCTATGGCAGCCATTCTCAACCTTTGGGTCATGACCCCTTTGGGGGTCAAACGACTTTCACAGGGATCGCCCGATTCCTAACAGTAGCAAAATTATAGTTATGGAGTAGCAATGAAAATAATTTCATGGTTGGGGGACACCACAACATGAGGAACTGTATTAGAGGGTCACGGCATTAGGAAGGTTGAGAACCACTGTTCTATGGAGTCAGGGCAGGAGCTGTGTCTTTCAGAGACACATAGAGAAAGCCTGTGTCTTGTGAGCTTTTGTGTTTACATTGCACCTGCTCCGAATGACCTCCCATTCTTCCCACCGTCCTTTTGTCTTGGTCCATCTCCCTCTCCTTGTAGCAAACAAGAACTAGAACAGAGCCAGTTGCTGGGTGTCCTGTGTCTGACCCCAAGAAGACAGCTTCCAAGTCTGGCTGCTGCTCTGGGTGGTGGGCATTCCTGACCTATCTGAGTTGCCCCAGAGGTGGGAGCATGTGCTGTAGTTCAGGTTCAGCAACGAGCCCAGGTGCCTGAGTTTAGGACATGTCCCCAGTTGCAGTGACACATTTATCCAGTGCCTTCTGCCCTCCCAGAGAACATTTGTTGTTGTTAGGTGCCCTCCGGTCTATTCCAACTCAGGGTCACCAGCGACCCTATGGACAACAGAAGGACACCTGCCCGGTCCCCGGGTCCTCACAGCGCCAGCCTCACAGCAGTTTCCATGTTTGAGCCCGTTGCATCTCATTAAGGACCTTCCTCTTTGTACCGGCCCTCGATTTTACTAAGGATGATGTCCTCCTGATAACACAGTAGAGTTGCTGAGACAACGTGTCTCCATCCTCGCTCCTAAGGAGCACTCAGGTTGGACTTCTGGGCGGATTTGCCCCAATCTTCTGGCCGTCTGTGGTGTGTTCCGTGTTCCTCACCAGCCCCACAATTCAAATGCAGCTGCTCTGTGGTGTTCCAGATTCAGCCTCTGCCCACCCCTTGCATGCATGATTGAAAGGACCATGGTTGGGTCAGGCGCACCTAGTCCTCAAAGACATGTCTTTGCTGTTCAGCAGGAGGTCTAGTGCAGCCGTGCTGCTCACTGCACTACACTGTGCCTGGTCTAACGCCCGCTCTTCCTTTCCCCCTCGCAGACAGAATGCTTGCCGCTGTCAGAATGCTGTCTCCGAGTTATTGTCAAGATTGACAGGTTTATGCTGAGCTGAATAACATTGTGCTGAAACCAGATGTCCCCACCAACACACAGACTGGTGAAGGTTTTTAAAAACATGGGACTTCAATGCTCAGGTCCCCCAATTTGCATCTACTGAATGCCTGTCTGGCCATTAAACTATAAGCAGATTCATCAGGACGGATGTACCTGGTGTGCATATTCCTGTCCTTATCTGCAGGGGCCGCTGGCTGAGTGATGGCCAGTGTGGGGCACCTGTTGAAAGGAGAACAGGGATTCTGGCATAAAAGAAAACCAAACCAAACTCTACTGCCGTCGAGCCAATGCCAGCTGGCAGCAACTCTGTAGACCAGGG